GTTCGAATCCCGCCGAATGCCGCGAGTTTTTTCACAATTGGGTCAACTAAACCAGTTTTAATCTGAAATGAGCGCCGAGGTGCATAGAATTGAAAAGTTTAGATTTATTCGACACGGCCCCGGCGTGGTTACTAGCTAGAAACTCGGAACATACGTTTCCTCGGTTTTTGTGTCCCGGCAGAACTTAGCTGCAAGGGCTTTAATTCATCCAGGGGCTCCTCAGGGTTCGAATGGTGTCTCCTAGTATGTACTCCAGTCCTCAAAGTTGGGCTTTTTAATTTTGCGAGAAATGAATACCGAAACTCGGAGGTAATTCTTTGAGGCTGTCATTTGCAAGTGTCTCGCGAAAACTGATGGAAATATTTGCGCTAAAGCCCTCTAGGATTAGTGGAATAGCCAACAGGTAGTTTGCAGTACATAAGTCTTTCAGTGTATCGTCAGATGGAAAAACATCAGCTGCTTGCACTTAAAATACTGGCCAATATGGATAATAATTCTCTACGCTTTCCAAAAAGGTACGATGCAGTCTTTTGCGCTGGAACATTACTAGCGATCTATGTTACTCACATGCTGGATCAATTATTAATTAAAGCACATACAATTTTGTAGAAGATCAATTGCTTCATCCTGCCCTCGGTTACAGTAGATCACCTTACTCATGCAAGATTGATAATCACCCGCAAACTGGCAGTAACAGATGTATTAAAACCTTGAAATAACCTAAGGGATTTTTAAAGTACTAGTAATTTGTTTAGAACCGCTAACATTTTTTAAAAGACCTTAAATTCCAAAAACCTGAAAATTGCGGAAACTGCCCGATAAATGTAAATAGCATTGCCAGGTTAAATCGTAAACGTACAGTTTTATGTATAATAAAAGATTTTTCTTTCCTCAAATTACTATATAGTTATTTCGGCTGTCGGAAGATTAATGAGATTCCTATCGTCCTTTTTATCCCGGCAAATACTTCATAATTTTCTATCTTTAAGCTACTTTTTAATTTTTTTT